CACCCCCACCTCTGCCATTGCCCTGGGCCTCTACTTCAGTCCCAGCACTGCTGGCACTGCCACTGAGGAGTACTGCCTCAAGCTCTACACTGCAGCCAGCCACCCCAGTGCCACAATGTAAAGCCCCAGCTGCCCCCACTGCCCTGCATTCCACTGGCCTTGCCACGCCCAGCTGACCCTTCACCGTCTTCTTCCTCCTGCTGTTGACGAAGCGTGTCTGGCCTGGCCCTATGCAAGGCAGCTGCTGGCCATGCCAGGCCTTTTACCTGAGGCCATTACGCTGTTCTTCAAATTGTGCATGCCCTTCTCGTGATGCCTCGGAAGGCCTCAGAAGTCTTCTGAAGCATCATGAGAATGGCAGGCATGATTTGGAGAAAGGCTGGTGCAATTTGGAAAAAGGTGGGTGTGATTTGGAGAACAGCATGCGTGGAGTCAGGAAAAAGACCTGGCATGGCCAGCAGCTGCCTCTCATAGGGCCAGGCTGGGAATACCTCATCAGCAGTGGGAGGAAGAAGACAGTGAAGGTCAGCTGGGCACAGCAGGGCTGGCAGAGTGCAGGGCAGCAGATGTGGTTGGGGTTTAGCACTGTGGTGCTGGGATGGCTGGCCATAGTGCAGGGCTTAGGGCAGCACTCTTTGGTGGCAGTCCAGGACTGGGGCTGAAGTAGAGGCCCGGGATGGTGGCAGCCAGCTGAGAATGCTGGAGCCCCCTGGGCCTCTACTTCAGCCCCACAACCCTACCGGTGTTGCTGCCAAGGAGTGCTGCTGTGCAGGGCAGACAAAAGGGCAGAGATGGGGGGTGGGGGGAGTTGAAGCATCCCTGTGGTCTTAAGTGTGGTCAGGCTGCCAAACACCCAAATTTTGATCATGTGAGCAAGGGGGCGCTGCAACGGCCATAACTTCAGGGACTGAGCATAAGTACCAGTAATTCAGTGCTGCCATAACTTCGAATGGTTGCTGAACAAATGGTCATTAAACAAGGACTACCTGTACCCCTTTTTTTGCAGCTTCCTGGTTTTGATGGCACACCACTAAGAAATGAAATTATACTTTCCTGCAACTTTTAAAAAGGAAAACAATTGAAACAAGCCTTTAGTTTTAATACCAAACCAGTCAATCTTACACCTGGAAATCCCTGCCCTGTTCTAGGACCCTGGGACTCAAATACTAGTACTGCAGCTAGTACTACTACTTTTAATAGTAGTGAGTCCCAGACAACACAAGGTTCTCTAACCCTGTTGGTGGATGCTGGCACTCACACACACTGTATAATGCTTTAATGGCAGCTACCTACAGCCCAAAGCATGTTCCTATGTTCTTGGCAAAGGATGGAGTTGCTGCGCATCTATTTCTGCCACAATACAATGTGTAATACCATAAAAACATGTTTCCCTGCCATATATTTTAGACTGCATGCTACAGCTGATTTAGTCTGAGGCTTTATGCCCTCCAACCATATACTTTAGCTCTTATTTGTCCCTAAAAGTTATTGTATACCGAATTACCACTGGTGGTGGCAAACCCTAGAAAAGAATTTTCAGAAGAAAGTTAATTTAGCTCCTGATATGAATTGGGAGCATATTCTGTAGTTGGGACTTGTGGTTCTCTGCTTTCTTCAACACTGGAGTGACCAGTTTAAGAATACTTTTGTTTTTTATTTTTAATATGTTTGATATAGTTTAGACTAGGGTCATTTGCTTGTAGGTGAGCTTAGGAGGCAGATCACTGTCCCAAGCTGTCATCAGAGCATGCCCTTAAAATTTCTGAAAAGGCATGGCTGTTAAACTTGGTATGCAAAATAGCAGTAAAAACATGGTATACCATATAAAAAAAGGAATTCACTTACGTTGCAAGGACTTCAGATGGAAGATCTGTAATATAGGAAGGGATCTTTCTCCCTGTCAAGAATTGTGCCACTTCATTGCTGAACGTATTACAGTTATGATCAAAAAGATTATAGGACTCTCCACTGTGACCCCCCAAAAAATCAAACAGAATGAACATGAGTAAGAAGTAAACAGAAAAAGTCTCAAAATAAGACAAGGACTCTAGAATAACATATACAGCATATAAAGACAATTCATAATTACAGCTTTACAATTACAGTTCAGACCAAAAGCTAACTGCATCCTCTTTGAGCTATTTATACACTGAGGAGGAGACCAGGATCATGACTGCTGACTGTTCTCCCTCTATCACACCTCTGTCACCTAGGTCTGCTGTTTTCCTTGTATTGTTGGTAAATGATATCAAGTAGATAGTTGCCTGTATATGTATAGGCTCCCTCTGCAGTTCAAGATACTGGGTGTTTAAATCATACAGTGAGCCTATATAACTATAGCAGTCCTCCTGTTTGACACATTTCCCTCCAATGCATGACATTGGAAAGTGATGATATGGATACAACAAAGAGAGCAAGTGTGATGCCAATTCCCTCCACATGCAATTGAAAACATAAAGAATGCACAGGTAGGATTGCTATACTGTATGTCTATGGGAACAGAGTACAGTCAGTATTGTTTTTAAAAAGTCAGTGTTCAGGCAGAAATTTCAAATACAGAAGCTAGAATGGATTCGTTAACTCTTTTCTGCCTACAGTTTCTCCTAGTCAGGCTGACCTTCTATTGGTTTCTTCAAAATATATTGAAGAAAATACATATTTTGTTGGCATCTAAAATAAACCAAGGGCAAGAAGCTGATTAATCATCCTCACTCTACTGGTGTCCTATCTAAATACAACAATTAGCAACGTGGCTTCCATACATGCCCAATAAGTGGTTTTCTTGCATATTGGAAAGCAGAAACCATGGACCAGTGAAAAGGCTAAAAAAATTTTGGATCAGATATATATTGTTATTCAAAAGATTCTTAAAGTGAATATTAAAAAAAAACCAGAACTGTTCTGGGTTTGATGGAGAAAGGATTGGAGAAACAATATGGAACTCGGCCTTTGTATATGATCAGAGCTGCAAGACTTTATATGTGCAAAGATGGAAGGATCCACAAATACCTACAGTGGAAAAATGGATCATTAAATTAATGGATTTGGCTCAAATGGCGAAGTTAACAGTGTTAATAAGAGA